GCCAGCCAAGTGGTAACCACAGAAACCTTTGGGGAATACTACTCACTTTTCTCAGGCTTCTGAGAAGACAACCTGAGGAAGAGGAGTCATTGACTGACAGGTGTATTTGGTGCCCTTTTCAGGGCTGTCACTAAACATATTGCGCAACATAGACTTAGGTCACTACCACAATGTAGGAAAAGAACAGGATTTTGCAATGCAGAGTTCTTTGCATGAAGGTGAGGTTCTATTTTGTATCCTAAACTAAATGAAATGGGATGCTTGAACAATATTATTTTTAGAAAAAAAATCTGTCTGTCTTCCACCTTTCTCCTCTACTTTGTCAGCTTGCTTTGAAGACAAATGCAGTCAGCTTGGAAATGATTGCAAGACCTAACAAAAATAGATTTTGGCTTGCAGCCTGTCTTTTGGATATAGACGGTCATTTTCTTGAGGCTTTATTGTTGGGGAGAGGAAAGGGTCAGGATTAATGTAATAATGTGAAGGCTCAATCAGAGCATGGAAAGCCAAAAACAAACCAGTATGAAAGGGAAAAGCCACAAAGTTGATTCAACCTTAAACCCAAAGTTAAGCTTTAATTTGTGGCTCGCATCAGATAGAAAGCTCCAAATGACTGAATTACTCCGCAGAACATCTGTCATCACCACCACTGCAAAAGTGAATAAATAGCAAGCTCACCCCAAGAGCTCCACTATGGGTAGGGTTTCCAGTTGAGCTGGTGGAAATCAAATGAAGAAGAGCACAAAGGTGATGTTTACAACTGCCCCACCCTCCCATTTTGGGGCAATGGGAATATTCCATATTCACTGACTGGTCCAGTGACAGAAGGGGAAAAACTTGTTGGCTCTGATAAGAAATATACTGCAGTGAAGAATTTCATGCTAAAGTGGAAAACCATAACAAGAAAAAGTCTATAAGAAAAATCCTATTGCTACAGAGGCTGATCCAAAGTCCATTGGCTCCCGTTGACTTAGATGGACTTTGGATCAGGTCTTTTAAGAAAACTTTAGTGTAGGTCTCCCAGCTGTTGTCCAGTGTTCTCCGGTGGTCAATGCAAATGCAAGAAAAACATGTGGTTTCTCCAGCACTCCTCCTTCCATTATTTAAAAAACAAACGGGTTTCAAAGAAGAGTTATCAAAAAAGTTCCTTTACGTGAAATAAACTGAGACACAGGTTTGTGGGAGACAAGCTGATAATTGACTTTTCTGGCAGTTACAATATTATTTTCAATTATGACTCATCTAGAATCCAGTAGATTGGCTTTCACAGTGTATCTTGGTTTAGACTGATGGGAATAGGCACTCTGGAAGTGATGGTTATGTCTTACAGCAAAATTAGAATCCTTGATCAACCGTGCAGTATACCTGGTGGCAGGGCACTTATGACAAAGGTTAAGTATCATGCAGGTTTGACGTCAGGGAAAATGTCCAGTAACAGACGGGTGTTACATCATTCATGATAATGAACATTTTGCAATTCATTTCAATGGGAGCAAGTCTGTGGCTTAAATCATTAATGATAAGCTGTGTGATTGGCTCAGTTTTAGGTACAAATCTAAATATCTACACTAAGAAAATAACAAAGTTGAGTCTCAGGGGGGCTTTTACTTGTTCAGATGGAGAGAGAAAACGGAGATATAGGGAGGAATATAAAATGTCTCAACTTCAAAATTAAAGTCCAGGGCTTTAGCTGTCTGGTCAATTTTGGGTACAACTCCCTCTGAAATCAATGGAAGCTATATGTATACAATTCATGGGGTAATCATATCTTTGGAGTTCAGAAATTAGATGTCCCATAAGTAGAGCCATGGATATCTGCTTTATATCCACGGGTATCCACATCTCCGGATGTGGATATCCTTATCTCCAGCTCACTTTTGTAGCTGCAGATGTTGATACAAAGTTTGGATTTAGAACCATGCAAATTTGCGGATATCCACATTATATCCACAGGTATCCACATCCACAGATGCGGTTATCTGCGGCTCATTTTTGTGGATATAGATACAGATGTGGATACAAAATTTGAATCTAGAGCCTTGCAAATTTGCAGATATCTGCTTTATTTATATCAGTGGGTATCTGCATCCATGGAAGTAGCTGCAGATATGTCAGGATCATTTTTGCAGATGTGGATGAGACCAATTTTGTACCCAAACATCTGAATAAATAAAAAGGAAGGATTGTGATACAGAGACAAAAGAACTTTCTTTATCAACTAACGTAGGGCTAGATCTTTAGTTGGTAAAAAATTGTGTTGCTCCATAGAACTAAATTCTACTGTTCCTGTTCACACCTAAAATCAAAGGGATTTTTGCCTATGTTAAGACTGTTGGTCTTGGACTCATTACTTTCCCTGGAAGGCCATATAATCAATCCCAGTGGTCATGAGACAGAATAATAGCATTGGTCTGAGCCTAGTTTGTTACAAACAAGTACCATAAAATCTGCCACACACAGCTCTACCAATGCACCTCAGCCCATTCTATGTCTCTTTGGTTGCATTGTTTGTGGGTTTTCTCACCCGTTGCCTCCCTTTTTCATAGCAGAAAATCCAGGTCATTTTTTACTTATGGCTCAAGCAATGATCTCAGTTTAAAAAATATTTGGCAAACCACAGTGAAACTATAACAGTCCACCATTCATACCACGTAAGACCACGCTCTGTCATGCCTCGTAGGACCACGCTCTGTCAAACACGGCATACAGTGAAGCTGTTACATATGTTCACTTGTTTTTGCTTTAATATTTATGTATTGTTAAAAATTGTACTAGAGCTCAAATTACGGTTGGGGTTCTGTTCCAATCCCTCCTCCCGTTGCATGCATGAGATAAAAACAAAATGTTACTTTAAATATTGTTATAAAATACATATTTCTAACTCTGCCGTCCCATTTCCATAGAGTCTATTGCCAGTAAGGAACTAATGATAATAAGGAATGCTCAATGAATTCCCATTGCAAGCTTTTGGGCAGGATATCATTAAAAAAAGTTGCTTTTTTTGGAAGAGGAATTAATATAAATGTAGAAAGCCAGATCAGCTGGTGTAAGATGGTATCGCTCTACTGATCTGTGCCAGTTTATCTCAGATAAGGATCTGGCCCCTCATCCCTAGATATTGAGATGCTGAGAGCCTCCAACTCCAGCTGAAATCTATGGAAGCTGCAGATGTGATATATCAGTGCAGGGCTAACCTCATCTCCTTTGTTTTAACTGTACTTCTTCCTTTCCCCTTTTGTAAAAGGGCCCTCCAACCCATGTCATTAGTGAAGTTTAATTGCCAAGTGACATTGCCCTGTTGATACCCTAACGGGAGACTGATGCACACACTAGTCTTGTGAGTAATGGCTCTCAAATGAATCACTGTATTTTAAGCATAATATAAAGTCAGTCAGCAAACTGGAAGCGAGAGGAGAGCAACAGTTTCTTTACGCCCCAAACTTCAAACCTGGCAGCTGGCAAACAATGCGTAAATGAGTTTACTATTATCTTTGAAGTGCATAGGCTATATAATTTAATCTGCCCAGTAAGTTTATTGTCACACAGGTATCATGTTAAAGTGTTTGTACAATTATGAGCGCTGATCTAAGGAAAGCAGAAAAAAATTATGCAGAGATGTCAGGCAGCAAAAATGTACAAAACCTCCACACTGTCATGTCAGTGTTAAAATGCATGTGTTTACACTCTACATGCTGTATGGAAGTATTGGTACACAGTATACAACATGAGCAGTGTTAGAATTGGTACCAAATTCATTTACTTAAAAGTAAATGGTGATGTTACAAAAGAGCAGGGAGCTCTTACAACACAACTACGTTGTGAAGTCAGCATTCCAGTTGTGCAAATCGGATCCTAATGCATCTCTAATTGGATCCTGCATTTACGCAAGGCTAATTTGTTATTGTAAGTAAACGTCTGTCAAGACAATCATTTCCAGAGCATCACCCTGCTCTGTGGGAAGGCCTGGGGAGAGATCAAGGTAACAATAAGTTAAAGCACGTTCAGCTTGAGACAGAGTGGGTGACTTGGCAAGTGTTAAAATGACAGGTCTGTTACACTAAATATGCCGGAGTGATATGTTGGGTTCATGAAAAACAACACACAAGACCTTTTATAGGTCAGTGATAAATAACTTGATTATTAAGTAGAATGATCCCACACCACTGTGGAATAAACGCAGACATGCATCAGCATATGCGCTGTGTATACAGAGTGCTGTGTACCATGAAGACACATAGCACGCATGTAACCTACCACGTATCTTTTTAAAACAACAACAGAAAGAGACGTAGCTGTAAACAGTCATCTGGAGGCCAGAAAGTCGTTTAGTACTAGGTAAATCACATTAGTGTAACATACATCTCTTTGATGCTAGAAACTGAAATGAAGCCACAGCAAACGATGCTTTATATGCAATTTCTGAAAAACAATATGGTTCTGTTGCGACAGGCTGAAGTTTTCCAAGAGCCTGTTGTAAAAAATGCACTATGGATTGATTTGCATCAGCCCACAAAAACTAAACATGAGAGCAGTTTCTTTGTGCAATAAAATACATTGAGCTGACAAATCCCTAACCAGTCCAAGTGTTGCAAGAGTCGCGTACCAAAAATTATTAGATTCTATTGACTCTGTGGAGTGGAGCGCCTGAAACTGCTTAAAGAAACAGTGCTTTCTAATTTGCTTTGCCATGCTTGAAAGCACACACACTCACATATATTATCCATTCCTACTTTTTAAGTCTATTTATTAGGTAGTCTAGGAAGGGCATCTCAGCAGCAAACTGCAGTCTTCACAAACAATGCAGTTAAGCCCTGCAAGCTTGAGACAGCAGGGATAAATTTAATAAATCAAACAGCCATTTGGGTCCGTAAGGTATGTTAATGCTCCCGGTGGCTGCAAAAAGTTGTCTGCTTATTATTTGTGTGGTGGCGGGCAGATGACTAGCTTGCTGAAGAAGATAATACAAGTATATAAGAAATAAAAGAAGAAGAAAAACTCACCTTTCTTTTATGGTCAAGGAACTCCGATTATTGTGAGGCAGAGTCTTAGACAATCCAGTGGAATATTAGAAAAAGCTGTAATGCATATTTGAAAAGCTGATAAATCCTGTTCTTTTTGCCCTTCCCCGCTAATCCTTCTTCTGTCTCCTAGATTTCAGTACACAGAGCGATAATCCTCCGGGGTACCCCCTCACTGCTCTGCCTGTATCTAAGCTCTGCACTTCAATACCTCCAGCTGTTTATATCAGTAACTAACCAAGCAGCAAGAGATCATATCCTGTCTGCACATGCTCACTGCTCACCAGTCTTTGCTGCTGCCAAGCTGGGAGATCTCCAGGGTCCTAGTGACTCACTAGACCAGTGCTCAGGAGCTAGGATTTGAAATGATCAGAGCTGTGTGGTTTTAGTGTGTTGCATTTGGTGCAGGGGGTTGGGGAGGGCTGAATGGGAGAAAGAAGCCGTGCTCCTGTGCACGTAAAATTGAGGGGAACTCATGGCACGCTCAGCGTGTCAAAATCAGCAGCCATAATCAGTGTGCTTTGCTTTTCCTTTTTCAAGTGAGCTGTAAAAGTTCCCCTCCTTCACGTTTGTTTTAAAGGAAGGCTTTGCAGCCGTTCACAGCTACAGGCGTCAACCTATAGACCCATCCAGAGAGGCAAATCAATTGAATCATCCCCAACGTAGACGTTCTAATGCTATTGTCTGATGGGAGGCTTTTTTAATGCCTCTTTTCCCCTAGGATTAGATCGGTTTTGGAACCACCGTTTCCCCCCAGACACATTCCCAACGGAGGGGAGAGAAATCCAGGTAAATGGTTGTGCAGAAATGGTTCCAACGCAGGCTCCGAGGTTTCAGACAGCATCTTGTTATTCCAGGCACAGGTGGATGGAAATAAATGATTTATAAATGTGAGAGCTGAGAGACAGTTCACTCACTGTCTGTAAGACGGACTGATCAGCAATATCATCTTCAAGGTGTATTTGATGTGCCTTGGCCGGTTTGTTCAAATGGTCTCAAAACAACACCTGTGTTATCTGAGACATTGGACGAGAGTTTAAAATTCAGCTCTACACCTGGATTTGGACCAGTCTGTAATTCTAGCATGTTTGGATCAGCCCATAGGTGCAGGAAGGAGGTGTACTGCAGCACCATCCACAAGGCCAACAGCTACTGCAGGCCCACAGTCGTGGTGTGGGGGGTCAGCTCTGTGCCCTCGGAAGGGGTGGGGTTTGAGTGGAAGGGGCAGGGCCTCAGGCACCGAGGCCTTAACGTCACCCAGAGCGTGACACTGGGCCTCCTCCCGCCAACCCTCAAAGATGCACCGAGCACCTGGCATGACGCTACCACACTCCAGAAGCAATTCAAAGGGGCCAGAGCTCTGGTCGCCGCTGCTGCCACAGTAGCAGCCGAGGTGGCCAGGAACTCTGGACCCCTTTGAAACACCAGGCCCTGAGGCAATTGCCCTCTTTGTCTCCCCTTGTCTGCAGGCCTGAGCACCCCAGGTTTTGCACCCAGCATGACACCGTGCCCTTGGGCTCCACTGCCAGCCCCATTGCCCTACGTTCCAGATGTGGGCCCTGGGGTTCTGGCGGCCAGTCCCAGTGGTGGCCCCAGCCAGGGGTGGTGAGGGGTGTGGCCAGGCAAAAGGAGGCCTAAATTGTTCCGGTGCTATTGGACCAGACCATTGAACGTTATGAGCAAAATTTAGATCCAATTTTTTTGTAACTATTGTACTAGATCACACTCATTGTGAACCAAGAGAAGAACAACATTACATGTGACTTTCGTTAGGGAGGATAATCAGAATCTAAGCAGCAGGGGAACTGGGAGCCATGCTGGGCCCCCAGGCAAGGTGTGGGGAGTGGTAGCCCCATGCTCCCAGAAGGGATGGGATCTCAGGCAGAAGAGCAGGGCTGAGGCACCCACACGGTGGCGTACCCCCTGCAGGCAACCCTCAGCCCTGCCTGGAGTGCACGGCATGGTGTCCCTGCCTGCCCAAGCAGCCCTACCAGCCATCCGGAATGTATTATGTGGGACTCCGGAGGTCATTGAATCAGCAGGCCACAGGAAATTTGCCTCCCACCCCGGTGGGCAGGCCTGCTCAGCAGCTGCTTAGGGCAGGAGTCTGTCACTCTTCCTCAGGTTGCTTATTACCTGATTCTGTAACCAGCCCCATCAATTTCAGTGGAACTGTTTGAATAGAAAGCACTCTAGCAATAGACCCCAGAAGTCCAGGCCTGGGTCTCTGAATTAGAGAGAGGCACAAGCCGTCAAATTCTACTTGTATTTCAGTCACCAGACAATTCAAGGGCGGTGAAACCCACGGTTTGAACTGTTTTATTTTAAACATTTGCAGACTTTTCCAGGCCTGAGGCAGATCTGGATTTCAAACACAACTGAATTTTGGAGCTAAGGCTTGGGAACATCTCTGTGCAGTGTAGTGCAAGATTTTATCCAGAACGGTTCCAAGCGTACACAGATTTTATATTGGCTCTCTGCACCAATGGGGAATTTCACCATCTGTGTGCTGTAATATTTAAGCACAGGAATTCTCTTGTTGGGTCACTTCTAGACAAACAAGGTTGGTGCTGTGATTATCTCATGTTGCTTCACTCATATTTATTTTCAGACGAAAGGTTTGGGGATCGTTTTGGTTTTTAAAGCAAAGAAATGCAGGTATTTCTACTACTGCTCGCAGCACTCAGGAAAACCATGTACAGAAAAGGCAAAACCAAATTTCAGCAGGTTGCACTTTCTGGGCCAGACTCTCAGCCCCATTAGGGTGTGTCTACACTGCACCATGATTTCGAGATAACTAACGTTATTTCGAAATAACAATGTGAGCGTCTACACAGCCATTCTGTTACTTTGAAATAATTTCAAAATAACAGATGGCTTATTCCAAAATCTGCAAACCTCATTCTACGAGGAACAACACCTATGTCAAAATATTTCCAAATAAGGCACGTGTAGACGCTTCGCTGATGCTATTTCGTAATAACCCCTCACCAGGGCTATTCTAACTTATTCCTGCCCAGTGCCTCCTGGGGCTCTAAATCAAGATAGCACATCTGCATTAGGGAATCCTGCCTCAGACTAATTTTGAGGCTTCCCTACAGTGCAGACATGCTATTTTGAAATTAGCTATTTCGGAATAACTACTCCGGAATAGCTTATTTTGAAATGAGGGTTCGTCTAGACTACGCTGAAGTTTCGAAAGACGATAAGAA